ACATACGAAAAATAAGTAAAGTAGTCGATTGTCATAGCAAATATACGTTTGCTTCATCGAAAATTCCACCAAAGAATGTGATATTTAAAATGCCGATACGAGGTAGAAACTGTAGTCCACTGGTGCCGCAATGAAAACATCTTTTGGGAGAGCAGGGCTATGTGAAATTCAATGAAAAACGCCAGCTCTACTCATATCATTGAGTGAAAAATCAACTACCAATCCTTGATCACCTTAAACGAAATTGAGTTATTACAATTCATATATTTTATAGCAAACCCTTGCAATAATAGTGTACTCGACCTACGAATCTATTTGTATGCTTTAAGTCGAACTTGTAGTGAACTCAACAATTATAAGTTGGGTGATTCTTCAAAAAACTACTTTCATTTGTGTGCACAGCATCACGCGATCTCTTTTATTTTCAAATTGGGCCAACACGATGTGGCGGCTTGGAGACAGCAACATGTTTGACTCTCGAAAAGCTCGAGGGAGGGACACGTTAACAGACCGAACAAAAAGCTGAATGGCAGTGATTTCAATTAGAGGCATGACGAAACAGATCGTGTGGCGCAGTCTTCTTTCTTTTTACAGAAGTTGGTCAGCCTCATTTTAGAAAATGGGTCATGTCGTCAGAATGACCTCGATTCAGGCACACGTCCGGTGCCAACTGCCATGGGGGTTGTGATGAGTACCATCGTCTGACCGCGGAATTGGCACATTTTCAGACGCTGTTCCAGCATCAAATTCGACAAGGTCGGGGAACTTTCTGTTTGTTTGTCTTCTTTTCAAGTGCCAAGAATGACAAGGCTCACTGACACTGCCAATTGTGATGCCAGCGAAATGTCTATAAATGTACCGAGTATCCGATCCAAAGCTGGAGATCATCCGGATTCTTATAGAGAAGAAATATGGAACAAGGTTGGCCACGAGATCAACTTGCGAAAGCAAGGCCGAATAAACTTCATTTCAATAGAAGTGGGTTGACCTCGTTGTCGCAAATTGGTCTTGTTGTCAAGGCAACTTAGTCGAACGCACCTGGTCCGAAGTCGTCTGCCATAGTAGTTGTCGTGATTCCCAGCATCTGACAGTGGACTTGGTACATTCTCGTCAAAGAGCTTGGTGCGGCGAA